AGGAGGGGAGGTGAGCCGGGAGGTGAGGAGGGGAGCTGTGAGGAGAGCCAGGAGGAGAGGAGGAAGGGGAGGAGGGAGGCGAGTCGGGAAGTGAGGAGGGAGGAGAGGAGGTGAGCTGGTGAGCCTGGAGGAGGGAGGAGAGCTGGGAGGTGAGCTGGGAGGTGAGGAGGGGAGCTGGGAGCTTAGCCAGGAGGGGAGGAGGAAGGGGAGGAGGAAGGGGAGCCGCCAGGGGAGGAGCGCCTGCGAAGGGTTTTCCATCATGGAACAGAATGTCCCCTGACAGGAGCGCGCCCTGCACCGAGCGCCCGTGGCCACGAGAGGGCGCGCGTCCTGCACCGAGCGCCCGTGGCCACGAGAGGGCGCGCGACACCACCTCGAATGCCCCTCGTCTGCGCAGGCGCCGGTTCACCAGCAAGGCACTCTGGGAGGTGGAGTCCCACGTCAGAGTACGCACAGGCTCTCTGGGAAACGGAGTCCCACGTCGGGTCACCCAAAGCACTCTGGGAAACAGAGTCCCACGTCGGGTCGCCCAAAGCGCTCTGGGACATGGAGTCCCACGTCGGGTCGCCCAAAGCACTCTGGGACATGGAGTCCCGCTTCGTGCCCGGACGCCTGTGAGGCCCAGGAGCGGACGAGCGGCGTCGCGCGCCCTCTCGTGGCCACCGGCGCTCGGTGCAGGACGCGCGCCCTCTCGTGGCCACCGGCGCTCGGTGCAGGGCGCGCTTCTGTCAGAGACACTTTATTCCACGATGGAAAATCCTACGCACGCCCTCGGGGTCTGCATTGCTTTCATAAAAAAATATTCCTTAAAATATTTAGAAACATTTTTATAAAATAGAAAAAAATATATTTTATGAATAATAAAATGCATTTTATAAAATATTTTCTATTCACGAAATAGAAAATATTCTTAATATTTATTTTTCTGTTTATTTACAGAACTGTGTGAATGAAGAGAGGTGAGAGGTCTGTTACAGCTAGAGTCTTTTGCGTGTTCCCCTTATTTTGTGTTTTGCAAGGATTACATATACGTATATTAATATATAGTATTATTCTAAGCTAGTGGGAGGAATCTGGGACTCAGTGGGGCTAGGGCCGGACCCTAGGGGCGGCTGAGTGGTCAGGCAGGGAGCGGCAGGGAGCAGAGCAAGAGGCTGGCCGGTTGGGGGGTTCCAGAATGTGCAGGGCCTGCTTGGGTGCCTGGTCAGTCATGAGGTTATAGAAACTTCTTGCTTTGTGCGGGAAAACTGCAAAAAAAAAAAAAAAAGTTGGGCTTCCTGGGGTCCGATCGGCCCACCCCGCCTTGCCTCCCTGTTCCTAAAATGCACAAACTGCAAGAGGCATGGTAATCATGATGCTAAATCAACATTCTGATAACACTTATACACAGGCTATTCATTTTTAATATTTTTCTACTTATGTGAAAGTCAAAATGAAGTTACAGAGAGAGGTGTGTGTGTGTGTGTGTGGGGGGGGCACATGAAAGAGATGGAGAAATCTTACACCCACTGTTCACTCCCCAAATGGCTGCACCAAGCAGGAGCTTTTCCTGAATCTTCCACGTGAATCAAGGGGCAAAAAACCCTTGGAACGTAATTGCAGTAGACCAGCTGAAGCTCAAAGCTGTGACATAAGGGTTGCCGGAGCCACAGGCGGAGGATTTACCCACAACACCACAAGGCACCAGCCCGCGTAGGATGATCCTGACTGATGTGTACTCATTTTAATTTTTTTTCTCCTTGTTATTGTTTTAATCTTTGGTTATTATTTTGTGATACAGTTCCATAGGCTCTGGAACTTCCCTTCTACTTTCCCCCAAATCCCCTCCCCTGTAAATTCCCCCCATATTGTCACAGCAGTGTATGCTGTAGTGATTTTCTGTGGCCTCCCAGGCTTTCCATTAGCAGAACAGGGAGATCAGAAGCAGAGCTGGAAATCCAACCCAGACATCTCCACGTCTTAATAATGATGTTAAACGCCTACCCCTGAGAGATGTATTCTGAAAATCCAGATATACAAGCTACTGTTTTTTTTTTAAAGATTTTATTTATTTATTGGAAAGTCAGATATACAGAGAGGAGGAGAGACAGAGAGGAAGATCTTCCGTCCGATGTTTCACTCCCCAAGTGAGCACAACGGCCGATGCTATGCCGATCCAAAGCCAGGAGCCAGGAGCTTCTTCTGGGTCTCCCACACGGGTGCAGGGTCCCAAAGCTTTGGGCCGTCCTCCACTGCTTTCCCAGGCCACAAGCAGGGAGCTGGATGGGAAGTGGAGCTGCCGGGATTAGAACCGGCACGCATATGGGATCCTGGTGCGTTCAAGGCAAGGACTTTAGCCGCTAGGCCACGCCGCAGGGCCCAATCAGGCACCATTTTGTACAGTGTGACAAAGGCTATGTATATGTGCTGAGCCTGGAGCGAGCTCACTTCCAGCTCAGTGTGTTGCACTGGTCCCATGGGGAAAATAATAGCAAATTTGGCATCCTACGTGTCAAAATAGGTCTGGGCCAGCAGGTTCCAGCAAGATCAGTACCACCAATAACCTAGGTGTTTAGGACACCTGATATTTGGCTAATGCCAAGAACTGCTCTAACCAGAAGGGGGAGAAAGGTTGTATAGGTAATGGTGCACCAACAACCGCATGGGATCACAGGAGGTGGAGACTGGTGAGCCAGGAGCCGGGGCTTCAGAGACCACGGTGGAAATCTAACATAAGAACCCAAACCTGAAACTTGCTGGAGGGAGTGGCACAAGTGACTGCCAACAAAGAACTGGGTAGCAAGCGCAATAAGTAAAATCAAATTGTAGATTCGTGGGTGATACAGCTTATAAACTGGCACTCAGGTGGGTCATCTGCTAACCAGAAGCACAATGACCTAGGCAAAAGAACTAAGGAACAATGAATATTACTCTAGGATCCCCAGCAAAGGAGCAAAAGCCTTTGCCAACCCCGGAGTTAGCTGAGGAATACATCAAGAAAATGGGGGATGCAGAATTCAAAATCTGATTATAAAGCTTCTTATCAAAAAAACCGAGAAGCACATACAGGAGTTCAAGGAATTTCAGGAATATGTCACACACAGAGTTGCTATGCTGAAACAAAATCGAGCAGAATTATTGGAAATGAAGGATACAAGAGGACAAATTAAAAATTCCATGGGAAGTCTCAATAATAGAATGAAAGAGGCCGAAGGAAGAATTTCAGAATTTGGAAGATATTTCTTGTCACCATGGGGAAACAATCAGAAAGCTGGAAGCAGAGCTGGGTCAAGCTAAAAAAAAAAATGCAAGAATTGAGAGCCACTATTAAAAGGCCAAATATAAGAGTTACAGACATGAAGGAAACAATGTGGAAATAATAGTCTTAGCCACTTTCCTGTAGCCCTTGAACCTCTTTACTCTAATTAACTATGTAAAGTTTGTAAAAAATATAATAAAAAAAATGGAAAAAGTTAAAAGAAAAAAGAGTTATGGGAGTCCCAGAAGATATAGAAAGAGAAGCTGGGTTTAAAGCTGCATTCAATGAAATAATAAATAGAAATTTTCCTAATTTGGGGAAAGAATTGGGAAACAACACCCAGGAAAGACAAAGAACTTCCAATAGGGTTAACCAAAAGTGATCTTTACCACAACACAAGATAATCAAGCTCTCTTCAACTGAACATAAGAAAAAAGATCCTTAATGAAAAAAAATCGATTGACGGATAGAGGAATGGCAGTTAAATTCACAGCTGACCTCTCACAGGAAACTCCACAGCTCAGAGAGAACAGAGTGACATATTCCAGATTCTAAATGGAAAAAAAAAATTATTGGCCCTGAATAACGTGTCCCCAACAAAGCTTTCCTTTGTCTTTGAAAATGAAATAAAATTCTTCCACAGTAAGAAAAAGCTGAAAGAATACTCCTCTTCAGATCCACTGTAACAATATTTAAAGATATTTTCTTGACACAGAAAAGTAATAGCACCCACTAAAACCAAAGGCAAGTGTGAAGAACATCCCAGTAAAATGAAAACAGAAGACTAAACCAAGCAACAAACAACCACTGCTAAAATGACAGGATGAAATGACCACCTATTCATATTAACCCTGAATGTAAACGGCTTAAATTTATCAATCAAACATACAGGACACACATCTCAACAACAAGGATCAGCAGAAACTTTATCTCATCGATTTTGATGTTTTGTTTTGATTTTCATTTCATCAAAATAGTTTTTCTGTTATATTAAATATTTCTCTAACTCATTCTTCAAGAAGGTTCTTGATTTTCATGTCTTCAGCGACACATCAGTCATTCAGTAGCATGTTATTTAACTTCATGGTGTTGTTGATTTCTTTCTTTTTTTTCCTTCTTGTTGATTTTGCATTGTGGCTTTTTCATTGGAGGAGCTATACAGTAACAGTATAATAGAAATTATAGCACCAGAACCTCAGGATACAATGCAGTATGCTTCTATACTTTCAGACCAAGGATGGACTCCCAATGAAACTGTGAAATCTGTCTTGATAATAGGATGCTGAACTCTCTGCCATTGTCCATGCCCACAACGATGGACTTATGAGTGTTTATGAAGATGTACAGAATTGTAATAATATATGAGAAATCAGTATGTTGGGGGAGGGGATTTAGGGAAGTAGGGTCAGAAACATCCCAGAGCCTATGAACTGTATCATAAAATAATAATGATAATGATAAAAAAAACCCAAGAAATAAAATCTAAATAAATCCTAAAAAAAGAAGTTAGTCACACCTCCAAGATGCTTGGACAAGAGGAACGAACAATAGCAAAGTCTGTTGGTAAACAGGATTCAGAAAAGCAGTTATAAACACATATTTAAAACTCCACAATATTCTACAAAGACCAAAAGAAGCAATATTCAGAAACAAATATGGAGAGAACAGGAGCCTCACATTCCAGGTATTTAGGGAAGAGAGATTTGGAAAACCTAATGTTTAGGTCTGCTGATCTTTTGCACCAGGTCCAAACGCACAGGGACTAAAATGAGACTGTTTTCTTGAGCAGAGTGTGCATGGCTCTCTTGATGTCCCTGTTCCTCAGGCTGTAGATAAAGGGGTTCAGCATGGGGGTGACCATTGTGTACACCAAGGAGGCCAAGGCACAGTTCTTAATAGAAAGTGAGAAAGTTGAACTGAGATACACAGCAATGGCTGCTGCATAAAATAAGCAAACCACTGTGAGGTGAGAGCCACAGGTGGAGAAGGCTTTGTACCTGCCACCTGGAGATGGGACCCTCAGAATGGAGGAGACAATTTTATAATAAGAGAAGAGAATCCCTGATATAGGGACAAAGCCATATATGACGCTTACAATATAGGTGACTATATCGTTGCTGAGGGTGTCAGAGCAATTAAGGTTGAGAAGTTGAGAAGGGTCGCAGAAGAAATTACAAATCTCCACTCCCTTGAAGCAGATAACTTGTAAGACCATCAGACTGTGCACCAGGGAATTCAAAAGACTCCCCATGAAGGACACTGACACTAGCATGCCGCAGTGGCGGGGGTTCATGATGACCTGGTAATGCAGGGGGTGACAGATGGCGACAAAGCGGTCATAGGCCATCACCGTCAGGAGCAAATCATCCATTGCTCCAAATATGCCAAACGCAGACACCTGAGTCAGACATCCTCCGTAAGAAATAACCGTGCTGTGTGTGTGGACGTCCACAATCATCTTGGGGACGGTGGTGGAGGTGAGACCCACGTCAGCCAGGGACAGGCTGCAGAGGAAGAAGTACATGGGTGTGTGCAGGTGAGAGTCCAACTTAACAACCAAGATGAGGAGCAGGTTGCCAATCACAGAGACTAGATACATGGGCAGGAAAAGCCCAAAGAGAAAGTTCTGTAGTTTCTGGTCCTCTGAGAAGCCGAGGAGATGAAATTCTGAAATACATGTGAGATTTTGTATTTCAATATAACCTGAGAAACTTTAGGGGAAAGAAAATAGTCTCGTTATGCAGGGAAGGAGACACATGACACTTCCACATGTTTTCAATTTAGCATATCATGAATAAACACATGGCTAAATCTAAGATGGTTAGAGTAAATAGAGGTAAAAGAAAAGGTATTTGGGCACGATATTATTTTGAAATTTGTGGGGATTTTTTGTTGAGTTATGTCTCCCCCAAAGAGTTCAAGACTTTCAAGACTCCCACCTCTAATTCATGCTTGGTAACCATTTCACTTCTGCCCTCCTTTCAACAGTGACAAACTCAACCACTTGGCATTCTCACAATTGGTTTCTGCAATATCCACTTCCTTCTATGTACGTTCTATGTATCCCTTCATTAGAGACACTCAGCTGAAAAATACCGAAAAAGCAAGGATATGCAATCTGACATGGGATTGATCACAGTCAAACACACCCAGTAATATCAACAAGATATACAAGAATCAGGTCTGGGATCACCTCAGATGAAGTTTCTTTGGGGATCTCCCCAATCAAACTGCCGGACTCAGAACCCCAACCATGAAGAGAAGTGCAGGTTCCATGGTCTGACCATGGAGTGCAAGTGCCAGAGCCGAGCCTCCTCAGAGGCTCAGACGGAGTAGTGGACAGCATAGCCAGGTGCCCATGGAGGATAGGGCAGTCCATCGGAACCTGCAGAGGACACCTGGCACCACAACAGAGGACAGAGGACAGAACAAATCGATCAACTATCCCAGCCATGTGTTGGCATTGAAAAATCTGGGCAAATGCAAATTTTAAGGTGGACGATGCCAACCAGTGGATTCTGCAGCAACTTCATCGTGCTTGGAATGGCGAGGCTGGCAGCAATTCAGAACTGCTGAACTATCAAAACCCCTCGAGCAGGACCCTCGGAGCGTGCCCCACGTCGGGGACCTGGGATGGGTGGGAGGCTGGGTGGGGCTTCTCCCTTTATCTCCATCTTTACCCCAGATGAATAATAATAATAATAATAATAATACAATAGTATTACCCACTTCCCTATAGCCCTGATCAACTATGTGAAGATTATTAAAATAAAATAATTAAAAAATAAGAATAAAAAAGAAATCAAAGTGTCTTTACATTTACAAGGGAGGGAACAGTGATTGGTTCCATGGCACTAACAACTACGTGACTTAGACTATGTATAAATACGTATCTATCCATATAGAAGGTACTGGAGGCGGCCTAAATGATGCTAAAATCTAAGACGTGTCACATCTAGGTAGAACATCTGCCTCTTCTCTTTTTCTTTCTTTTTACGCATCTAAGTATCTCTGCCCTCATTTGTCAATATTCATCAAAAAGAGTTGTGCTGGAGATAACCATCAAAGGACCCTGTGTCCTTCTCAGAGACACAAGCCCGTGGCATTCTCATATCCCCAAGCATCCCTGTTCCCATAGGATGTTCCTAACAAGGATCAAGGTGCCTAGGAGTCAGCACCAACGTGTGTGGAAGCCACAGAGAGCATGGCCAGCTACTTTGAACCGATGAAGGCTCTGTCCAGTAGGTAACACAGAGTCTTTTGACGCCTCCTCTGTGTAAGAGACACACATACAGTTCAGAATCTCAGGAGTGAGAAATGCGATCCTTCCCACACACACGAGAATATACATTTGTCAGTATATGCTTTTACTCTAAAAAAAAAAAGTTCTGTAAGAACGGAAGTATAAGTGTATTTAATTAAAAAAAAAGAATTTTTGCTATATATATATTTTTGCTACATGGAAAATATAGATTATGAGAAAGTTGTACGTGGATACTTTTAAAAAAGTGTTGTATAAGTAGCTCAAAATGGCATGATGACTACATAAGTAGCTCAAAATGCTCATTCTATTTTCGGTAACATAGTGAAGTTCTCTTTTACAGTGGCAGGGACATCATCAGCCGGTACCGCAACAGGAAACACTGTGCTAGGCAGGTTATATTTGAATGGATTGGGATAAAGATTAACTTTAAAATGATAACAACAATAGCTAACCTTTATTTTATCCACCTTTGATTCTCTGTTATCCGCAGGAATCTTCCATGACAGGCTCATTAACTGCCCAAAGCAGCTGCGTCAAAGAGACATCAATTGTGACAGCTGACAGTGTCTTGTGTCACGGGTCTTAAGAACCTGATCCCAAACAACATTGTCTCTGTGTCAAAAAATTTCCAGACATGTTCCAGGGGGTCACACCATCAGCACCTCAGGGGTTCCTTGTAAATCTCGCTGCCTATTCTAAAGCAGAATAGGAATCTACCACCCCCCCCTCCAACTCAAGTTTATTCACATAAAGTGGAGTGATTATAAGAGGGGTCCGAGGGGTTAAAAGCTGAGGAGAAATTTCAGAGTCGGGGGGTCAACAGAGAGCGTGTCCATCGATGACCCTGCGCCTGCCTCTTCTGTGAACTTGGCATTCTGTCATGAGTGTCCGTGCTCCAACGGTGTCAGCACCCCAACTCCTGATTCAGAATTGGCTCCCCTTTCTTATACCTGACAACCTGCCACAAAGAAAGCTACCCAAAACTACTGAACTCCTCTGTCTTACAGCAAGTACGGCAACCGACTTAGGACACTTTATGCAGCAGGATGAAGCACTCTAATTTACACATTTCTCTCAACTGTCCATAGCGCTGTGATTACTGGGTTCCTTGTTGCCCTTTCCCTGGTCATTTTTGGGGTTTCAGGTAAAGGTTATACACACTCAGCTCCTACTAAGTGCACGCCCATGGGAAGATATTGTTATAAAGGGGAGAAAAAAAACAAAACAAAACTCAGAATGAGATCTTTAAGACATTGATGAGAACCAAGCAAATAAAAGTTTACAACTTGTTGGGCTAAAACATCCCTTCCCCTTTGCACCTCACACCTGCCATTTTTCTTCCTCGTAATGAGAAGACGATGTTCCTGGCATTCCCGGCCCCTCTGTGGTCACTCTGAATCTCTCTCTGCTGTCTCCCTCAGCACTTACCAAGATGTATCTCCTCTCAGCTGAGGCATACCCTAGGCAAAGGCTCTGCTGTTCCTCTTCTCGCTGTGCCTCACGTTCTTGACTCTGGATGGGCAAAGAGACAGATTTGCCACGCGTTCCCCTCATGCAGGTGCACACAATGGTATTTATGATAGAAAGAAGCTGTCGATTTTCTACCGGCAAAGTCAAGGTCCGAAGGAACTGGCTCATTATTTGCACTAAGGGAGGACTCTGGAGGCTCAGGACCCAGAGCTCCTCATTAAGCCAGTCGATCCAGAATGTCCCAGTCTCTTTGGACTGGCTGAAAGTGCTGCAGGAGAGAATGAGGGCAAGCACTACCTCTGTGCCTTTGCTGCTGACTTCTAACTTGCTTCATCACTACATAAAATTCACACTTCCTGTTGACTATTTCTTGGTCTCTGTAACTGTTAGTGTAGTGGATTAATCATAATGTCGAGGGAGAATGAGATTGTCTATGCCAAGGAACCAATACCATTTCCATTTTCTCACTCTCATTAATTTTGTATTTTTTTTTTTTGGACAAAAATTGCCCTAGACTCTAGTCTTAAAGAGAGCTGTGCCATTTCTTTCCAAAGCAGTTGCTTCAGTTGGCACTTGATGTCTGGGCAACTGACAGCCTTTTACTAGTTTGAGTGATTCTTCAGTTCTAAATGAATCTCTTATCAAATTACATTAACACGGTATTATCATCGACTAGTATGTAGTTATTCTTTGGATTTATAGCTGACCTCAGTAGTTAGGGGGAATGACATATAAGAGAGTATATTGTTCAAATTTATAGGTAATGCAATTTCAAAAGAAAATTCATAATATCCAATTTCCATGACATTGGGAAGACCCTAAGTATGCAGAATGACTCTTCTTGTCCTGTGGTAAATATTTGTGTGAATGTGGTGACATGTTCTATAATGACTCAGGGTTAAGCAAAGCATGGTGTCCGCTGATTCACGAATTCTTCCCAAGAACCAACATTACAGCATTTGCAGGTTTTTCAATCTAGTTGTCCCAGCTACCCTGCTGTCCTGCATGTGCAGGTGGAATGACCCCAGCAGCCACGCCCTCCGTCTCTGTGTCCTACCAGTCTCACTGAGCCAAGCCCTGTGTGGTTCATTGCCTTCCCTTCACTGAGCAATGAGGGTAGACGCTCCTTTCTCCAGGACTGGGCCTCCCAACACAGAGGAGCCAGGGAACAGACACACTCTCAAGATATTTAGTGCACCAGCCAGGCAGACTTTTAAAATTCTTTCTTTATTTGAAAGCAGAAACACAAAGGTAGAGAAACAGCTCTCTCTCTTTCCTTCCAAAGCATCCCCAACAAGCACCTTTTGCCTGGATGTCCCAGCCAACGTCGATCTGAGATCCCAACTTGGGTTTCTCATAGATGGAACCCAAGAGGTTGACGACTCGCTCCTGCTTCCTAGCAAGTACAAGAACAGAAACAGGCAGTCAGAGGCAGCCCTGGAACTCGGTATTACGGCACCTCAGTAAAGATTTAGGCACGACAAGACGCATTTAGTGCGTCATGCCTGCCCCTAGGAGCGGCATTCTGAAAGCTTAAACACACACACGCCTTGTGTGGTCCTGTGCACTTTAATTACTTCGGTCTGTAAGCATAACCACAAGATTGGCCACATGTCTGTCTGCTTTTCAGGATGGAATAACTCCACCAAACTGATGCTCTCAGCCAAATTTTCCTGCAGAAAAACTGCCAGAGGGGGCAGCTCAATCTCTATATTTTTATTCATTAACTTTTTTTTTCATTAACATATTTTATTTCATTAGCCCTACTGTTTCGCAATGTCAGTCTCTGTAGCCCAACCGAGGCCAGATTCACAGATGATCCTGACGTCGTCAAATAAATTCTGATTTCATTCTGTTGCAGATTTTCTTTCCGTTTATACTGAGTGTTATAAACTCGCCAAGTAGTTCGTCAGCTACACTCGTGCCTCAGTGATACCAGTAGCATGGTAGGCTACAAATTCGCAGATCTTCATTTTTCACGCAGAGTCATGACTCGACACATAGAGATTGCAACACCTTTGTAACAACTCCATGATCCAGCTAAGAGACTGCATCACCTCAGGAACACGCAAAACCAAGGAAAAGCGTATCAGAGTAAGAACATTCATTGCATTGGAGCACCAAAGTCCTCCCAATGCCAGAAGCACCATTGTAGGATAGAGAAAAATCCTCAACTCTGAGCATCTCCTTTGGAAAGGTGTGGCATACTGCAGCACCTGCTGTAGCAATCACTTCACTGCTCACAGTCCTAGAATCCCATATGGACACCGTTTTGAGACCTGGCTGCCCCAGTTGTAACTTAGCTTCCTCAAATGCCCCTGGGAGAGTGACCCAAACTTTTGGGCCTATGAACCCACATAGGGATGCTCCTGGCTCCTGGCCCCACCCTCAGTCATCATAGCCATTTGATACATGAAGCAAGCTCCTGGAAAGCTATTGATGTTTTCAACACATCCTTGGAAATCTCACAAAAGGTTCTCCCATCAGTATTCAAAGAGTTGGAACCAATGAGAATCTCTTGTGACGAAATCCAACCAGAAACTTGTGAAAACTCCCATGGGGTGGTTTCCCCCAAAATGAACAACGTTATCGATCCATGTGAAAAGCAAGGACAAACTCACAAAGGTTCCAAATGTGTGTGGAACATACGTACGAATTAATGCGAGATACAAAGTCTAAACACAGAAGTTGCTCACCTGTCCAACGCGATGATTGGATCAGAAATAATAAACTACAGAGAATGTGACAGGTAAACAGGATTCAGAAGAGCAGTTATAAATACATATTTAAAATTCCACAATATTCTACATTACAAAGACCAAAAGAAGCAATATTCAGAAACAAATATGGAGAGAACAGGAGCCTCACATTCCAGGTATTTAGGGAAGAGAGATTTGGAAAACCTAATGTTTAGGTTTGCTGCTCTTTCGCACCAGGTCCAAACACACAGGGACTAAAATGAGACTGTTTTCTTGAGCAGAGTGTGCATGGCTCTCTTGATGTCCCTGTTCCTCAGGCTGTAGATAAAGGGGTTCAGCATGGGGGTGACCATAGTGTACACCAAGGAAGCCAAGGCACCTTCCCCAGCAGAACCAGAGAAAGTTGAACTGAAATACACTCCCAGGCCTGTTCCATAAAATAAGCAAACCACTGTGAGGTGAGAGCCACAGGTGGAGAAGGCTTTGTACCTGCCACCTGGAGATGGGACCCTCAGGATGGAGGAGACAATTTTATAGTAGGAGAAGAGGATCCCTGACATAGGGAGCAAGCCATATATGATGCCAACAAGATAGATGACTATGTCACTGCTGAGGGTGTCAGAGCAAGTAAGAATGAGAAGTAGAGATGGGTCACAGAAGAAACTAGAAATGTCCAAATCCTTGAAGCACATAATTTGTAAGACGACCAAACTGTGCACCAGAGCATCCAAAAGGCTGGCCATGAAGGACAATGACACTAAGATGTTGCAATGGCAGGGGTTCATGATGACCTGGTAATGCAGGGGGTGACAGATGGCGACAAAGCGGTCATAGGCCATCACTGTCAGGAGCAAATCATCCATGCATCCAAAGAGGAGAAAGAGAGACATCTGAGTCAGGCAGCCGGCATAGGACATGGCTGTGCTGTGGGTGAGGATGTCCACAACCATCTTGGAAACCGTGGTGGAGATGAACCCCATGTCAGCCAAGGACAGGCTGCAGAGGAAGAAGTACATGGGTGTGTGCAGGTGGGAGTCAGAGGTGACAGCCAGGATGATGAGCAGGTTCCCGAGCAGTGTGACCAGGTACATGGAGAGGAACAGTCCCAGGAGGAATGGCTGCAGCTCTGGATCCTCTGAGAAGCCCATGAGGTGGAATTCTGAGACACGTGTGAGATTTCTGATTTCTGTATCACCCCGGAACCTTGTGTAAAAGGAAACAGTGTTAGCTACAGGAAAAGCAGTCACATGGGAATTGTACATATTATGACTTCAGTGTATCAAGGATAAAACACAGGAGTAATTCTTAGGTTGGTAGAATCAATAGCATTTTTTAAAAAAAGATTTATTTTTATTATTTTTTATTGGAAAGGCAGATATACAGAGAGGAGAGACAGAGAGGAAGATCTTCCGTCCGATGATTCACTCCCCAAGTGAGCGCAACGGCCGATGCTATGCCTATCCGAAGCCAGGAGCCTCTTCCGAGTCTCCCACGCGGGTGCAGGGTCCCAAAGCTTTGGGCCGTCCTCGACTGCTTTCCCAGGCCACAGGCAGGGAGCTGGAAAGGAAGCGGGGCTGCCGGGATTAGAACCGGCGCCCATATGGGATCCCGGGTGTGCTAGGCGAGGACCTTAACCACTTGCGCCACCGCGCCGGGCCCTATTTATAACTACTCTTACAAAAAGCTAGGATTGCTTTATGTAAGCATGAAGTTTGATTGTTCTTGATGGGAAAATATTTTTTTGGTCAGGATTTTCTCATTCCTAGGTTTTCTGTATTCCCTTCATGATCTTTTTTTTTTTTCCTTTCTTTTAAGGATTTATTTTTTAAATTTTTATTGCAAAGTCAGATATTCAGAGAGGAGGAGAGACAGAGAGGAAGATCTTCCATCCATTGATTCACTCTCCAAGTGGCCACAATGGCATGAGCTGAGCTGAGCTGAGCTGAAGTCAAGAGCCTGGAGCCTTTTCTGGGTCTCCCATGCGGGTGCAGGGTCCCAAGGCTTTGGGCCGTCCTCCCCTGCTTTCCCAACCCACAAGCAGGGAGCTGGATGGGAAGCAGGATCGTGGGATTAGAACCAGCGCCCATATGGGATGTCAGTGCATTCAAGGCAAGGATTTTAGCCACTGGGCTACCGCGCTGGACTCTATAACCTCTTTTTCTTTGAGAGTCAGTCACCAGGGGACTCTCCAATATGCCTACAGTATCCATGTCAGGACCAACAGAGAGGCTGCTAGCTGGAACTTAATTCAGCAATCACTCTTTTCCCCATCATTTTATGACAGATCATTAAAAAAATATCTCCCTGTGCAGTATCTGGCAGCAATCTTTTCATGATAACTTACTAGAAAAACTAATCTGCTGAGGTTGTGTGTGTGTGTTGATTTTTACTTGCCTCGAGTGGAGGAGCCACTGTGATGAGAAAGATACAAGGAAATCAGCATTCTACTCCTGGCTCATTCACTTAGGGTATAAATCTATGGTATATATCCAAGAAATGGGTATAAATCTCGCCATTTCTCTGTAATTTTACTGCTGAACTCATGGAAAGTAGTTGGCAAATTCAAGAGGGATCTTCAAGAAGCTTGTGAAGTGTGTACTAGGAAAAAAAAAATCCAAGCTTTTATGCAACTATAAACATTTTAGTTACATTTGCTGCAAAAAATGGAAGAATAACTTCTCTATCTGTGGCAGATTTTGAATCCAGGGGAAGTTAGAACTTAAATATCTTGTTGTTCCCATATTTTAAAATAGAGATTTGTCACAGAAAGAAGTTTGTTGATGAATGACGTTGGCAAAGGGAACTAACTAGTGGCGACAATGTTGCCCAAGTCTAAGAACATCTGATCTCCAGTAGAACATCTGTCTTTCTCTTTTTTTTTATTATTACACACCTGAATATCTCTGCCTTCATTTTTTTCAATACTCATCAAAAACAGTTCCGTCATCGACTCCATTGCTTGTAAAATTACAGGACCCTATGTCCTTCTTAGAGACACAAGCCCATGCTATTCTGATATTCCCAAGCAGCTCTGATTTCATGGGACATTGTTGAAAGGGATCAAGGTGCCAACAGGACAACACCACGTGATCGCCACAGTGACCATGACCAGTGGTTTTGTTCCAAGAACTGCTCAGTTCAGGGTGTGAGACACAGCCTTTTGATGCCTCCCCTGTTCAAACAACACAAGCAGTTCAGGATCTCAGGCATGAGAGAGAAAGATAGCTGTGCTTCCCCCAAATGTACAAAATACACATTTATGGGAACATGATTATTTTCTAAAATTCTGGATTTTGGAAGAATGGAAGTGTAACTTTATTTACCACAAAAATAATTTGGGGGAATAACTATTTTCATGTTTAGAAAATGTATACTGTGGAAAATATCCACATGAATTTTTAAAAATGTTTGTAGCAAAATTAGCTCAAAATGCTCATTCGATTTTTGCATGACCATTTCAGAAGTTCTCTCCTACACTGGCAGGTGTAACAAGTGCCAGTACAGCAATAAGAAAGCAGTGTTAAGCAGATTGAATTTCAATTAAGTGTGCTAAAACTAACATTAACATGCTAATGACAGTGTCTAAAACTTATTTCATCTGCTTTGGATTTATCTGTTACAAGTAGGAAATTCGATAATGGGCACATTGATTATCCAGAACAGCTGTGCCACGGATGCATCAATTCCAATAGCTGGCAGTGCCCACAGTCACAGGTCCCGAGAACCCACTCAGTGGAAGAAAAGTGGTCCGTGGAGGAGACCTGATTCCCAAAGACATTATCCCTAGGTCTGCTGCATTAGAGA